AGGGTCAGCCATTTGTTGCTGTGCCAAGTACTGGTAGGTCCATTCGGGCTCAATCTTAACAGTACATGCGGTAACTCGTGGTTCCTTTACGTTATTTGATGGCTGACTCAGCTGTTCATCAATGTCCGTAATCGACGGGTGACCAGACAAGTCTGTCTGAATTTATGAAACGATACAAGCACTACTTACAGATCAGCAAGTTTACGGTTCGAACTGACCATGCACCATTGAGATTTATCTTGAAAACTAAGAAACCTGAAGGTTAACTGGCTCGTTGGGTTGCCCTCCTCAGCACCTTTGACTTTGCCATCGTGTACCGTCAAGGACAGCAGCACTGCAATGCTGATACAATGTCCCGAATACCTTGCACAGAAAGATGAAGATGGTGACAGAACCACACAAAAGGTTTAAATACAGTTGAAGTTGGAACACAGACACAATAGCTAAAAGTTCCTTTCGCGTAGTGCAGTAGTTACGTTCTGACTTAGAGAGAGTGCGGCTAGAGAATGCTACAGTCCTTTAAACACCGTCCTGTATCTGTGAAAAAACACACCCGATGCCGTGATTACTGGCATCGGTATCAAGAACGAAGGGTGCGTCCATCTCGGGATAAGCTAATACTGGTGAGTTAGTCAACATTTTTTCTTTTTCCCCCGAAACGTTGCTTAGAATATCATCTAGTATATACAAATCTATTGTAGAAAAGACGAGACTGTATAAAGAAAGGATTAGACGTTTTGGGCTGAAGAACTGATTTTAAGGAAAAAGCGGCTGTTATATATGTCACTGAGATTTTTATGTGCAACAACTGATTACGAGATGGCGAAGGGATGGTAAAACGATTTTCTCAAAGAACAGGTGAAATATATTGGAAAGAAAGTTTTGACCGTAATAACAGAGACAAAAAGATAAAAATAGATATAAATTGAGAAGTTAAGTCGAGTTGGCAATGATGAGTGAAGCAAAGCCGCCGACTGACCGTCGTTTTTCAGTAAACTTTTCAGTGTCATTCTTTGCTTTCAATACCATAATACATTTGTCTAGTAGGTTTATGCTAAAACAAGTAGAGTACTCGTTCTTGTTTTCTACGCGCCTCATCGACAATATATTGACTCATAGGAAACTCGACCTGGACTTCAGTAACTTTGGATTAATATATATGAGTATTGTTTAACTAATTCATAGGAACACCAGACACTGAGCAAAGAGAAGAAGAAGAAAGAGAGAACAAACATCTAAAAGAAGAAGAGATGGAGAAGAATAAGGGGGGGGGAGAAGAGAAGGAGAAAGAAGAGAAGGAGAAAGAAGAAAAGGTAAGGGGAAAAAAGATGATGAAGAATGAGGGCTAAAGGGCGCAAGAAGCAAAAATTAATGGATGGAAAACAAGGCTCAGATCGAACTTCACATTGAAAACTAAATAAAATGGATGATAATTGATGATATTAGGTTCGGCTCACGTAAATTTTGACGTTTGACCATAGTCGAAACGTGATAACTGAAATGTAAAAAAACACTGACTATATTTTCAGCACTAATTCAACATGGCGTGAAAAGCTGAATGTTGAAATATTGAGTTAGGGGTGAGGTTGCCATTAAGCTAGCTAAGCCATGCAGCAAAAGAAACAAAAAGCTATTTATTGAATACCGTCTCCAGCTTCTTGTGGACGGTCCAATCCGTATATTTTTGAATACGCTGACGTAACAGCGCTAATCCTTAGAGAGAGCTCATGGTCATGCTCAAGCACACTTACTTCATTCCTTTACTTCATTTATATTTACAAATATCATTAAAACACAAATATACCGTTAAAAGGCCGGTATCCAAAGGCCGCGGGATTTTAAAACATTCAGTGGTGTTGTTAAAAACCTGATGACGATTTTTATGCGCGAATATTTGTTAGCGACGTATAGGAATGAGTTGAAAGCAAATCCAAACTGAAAAGTGATTGATGTAATTACGTAATGGTGCACGATATCCAAAACTGACCGTGCACGATGTACAAGCTGATCGTTTGCGATTACGAATGAAACCAATCTGATCGTGTTGGATGGGAAATCGCACACGATTTCCCGAGATAGAATTGATCCAATGTGTTGTATCACACTCAGAACTTTAAAACTTTAGCAAGAATTCATTTTGTTTAAGTGATTTACTTTCTCGCAAAAATAAAATAAAAGTGTCTTATAATCGTTATAGTGCGTTTGACAAAAGATATTTTGGAGTTGTTTGTCGGAAATATTTTATTTTCACTCCGAAAAATGTTATAAAGTCACTCTGAACCATGAATCAATCCCCTCCCCTCCCCTGTGGTGCTGGTTTGTGTTGACGTGTAAACGAGGCAGTCACGTGGTATAAGAGGAGCAGTCGACGAGAGAAGTTGTTGTGTGAATATTTTCTGACTAAAAATCCTTCTTTTAATCCTCAAATATGGATCTTTACGGGCTCATATAGCATCCTAAAGGTAAATTACCTATCATTTTAGCTATATATTGTTTAATTATTTTATTTAGAGCGATATTTTAGAGTTGAATTGACCGTAAAGAGTTCGGTTGCTCGTCGCCATGTTTTGGCGGGATTCATTCTTAACAATTTAGCTTCAAGTTGAACGATTTATTGCTTGAAAAAAACTTAAATATCCGAAATAGATTATGCTTTAATGCTTCTTTGGGAATTTAGCAATGTTTCATGGTAAATTATCTATACTTTGTGCGATTTTGTTGGATTTTACATGCTCATCAAACAGACTATTTAAGTCAGTTTTCGTTCGGCGTTTGATTTTTGTTTGCGCTTGGAATCTTGAATGAATACGAGTTATTATGAGAATAAGAGACATCAGATTTCTCCAAATCCAAAGATTACTGCACGTCCTTTGTGATCGTAGGGTCTGAACTCGCCTAGAGTTAAATAAATAAACTTTTGTCAATCCAAGTTAGAAAGAACTGCTGCCCATGACTCTTCAGCTTCGCCTTCAGAGTCTTGGGAGTGAAGGGCTTAATAAATTATTTGTGGATATAAAAACACATATTTTGGTTGAGGATTTGGGCAAGCAAGCAAGGAATCATTATAAAATCCTGGTATTTTGGTTTCATTGAGGAATTTCGAGGAGATATAACAATCTTGTTGTGCCACAAGAGTTTTTTCGCTTCTAATGCTTTGACTCATTCGCAATGCTTCTCTTAAGCCTGGTTTCCATATGATCGCTCACGATCGCCGGATCGCTGAAAATGATGCCAGCGATCGTGAACGATTATATGGAAACACTTTTCAGCGATCGAGCGATCGTGAGCGATCGTTAGCGATTATGTGGAAACACATGTCAGCGATAGAGCGATCAAAATGTATCCCATAACACATCTGTCAGTTTTGGTAGCCATAGCAACGTACTAAACAAAACATTGGCCTTGAGTGAAGACTGTATATTCTAGATTGATTTTGAGTTCAAGTTATTTCTACACAATATGGCTGAAAGTCATGATAGTGCAGCCTTAAGGGAAGAAATCCGAAAGTATGAATGTCTGGACAACAGGAATATTCTCGATCAAACAGTGGAAGCTCATCGAATAGGTTGTGGTAAAGACCTTGCTGTTTTCTGTTTTTGAAGACGTCTCACCCAAAATCGATGAGATCTTTTCTGTTTCAAATGTGATCTTCACTTGGCTAAAGCAAGCAGAAGAACACTGCTTCCTCGTAGAAAGACGCTTTCTTCGTCCGCCATGTTGTCAAAACGCTATGCTACCACGCGTGGCTCATATGGATTACGACTTACCATAATATCCGTTTGCTCATAAAAGAGCCACAAACTCAAGTGGAGCTCGCTGTAGCATAAACTTCAGCGACCTAATGGAAACATGTCAGAAACTGATAGCGATCATGAGCGATTCATGCATCAATAATTTCAGCAATCCGGCGATCATGAGCGATCATATGGAAACCAGGCTTTACTAATCTTGTAATCTTATATTTTAACTTACAATTAATTTCCCTTACTTTAGTTGCTATGAGATTAAAATTTCCTTGAAGGTAAAAAATATGAAAAAATGTGAAAACACCCAGCATGTTAAACTGCATGTCAGGGTTGGCTGGTTTAATTTCATAATCAATATTAATCGATAAGATTAGTTGATTAATATTGATCAGTTATCGGCAGTAGATGATTAAACGATAGTTACATGAAGATAATATTATCGACAATAATTACAAGTTATAAACAATAATATAAATTGTTAGTTATGTTATAGCTATACATAAGTGAATTTATAAAGAATTATTTCTTTTTTACGAATGTATAATGAATCTTTCGTAAACCTTTTTGTTTCAATGATATATTTTTGTACTTTTAGAAACAAATTAAGATAATTAGAAACACTTAAATTGGGAGATCCGTTCAAAAAGTGATCAACCTTTTATTTATCAGTGGTATAGTTCTCATAAAGCTGTGTGAAAACTGACAAAAAGGGCTGTACGAATAGTGGCATATTGAGAGTAAAGGATGAGAGTGAAAGAAATAATAACAAGCTGATTCAACTGAACCATCATTGCATTCACAAAATGGAGGGGGCTTACATGCGATTTTAAATATATGAATTCAGAGCAGACTGTTGAAGACGCAGTAGCGTTTGCAGTATGGAGGCCTGCCTACTTAAAGATATGTTTAAAAGTTGATTATATTCTTTACAGTGGTGAGATTGATTTAAAAAAATATGTTTAAAGATTTTGAGTTACAAATATTGTTGTCTAATTCGTTCCATGTAGGAATTACAGAAGGCAAAAAAAAAAAACTTTTAAAGCAGGCAGTTAAATATATTGAACCTGCTGTGCAACAAAGCCCAATTTTTACGCTTTTTGAAATCACTTTTTTCACAGTTTTCTGTGTTCTTGCTCTGTTTTATGTATTTGATGGATGATCTATGGGAAATAAAACTCACACAACAACTGAGATGTACATGTTTATTGACCAGAAATATGATACCAGAAGTTACAAAATTTTGTAATTCTCAGGCTGTGGAATAAGGCTAGCCTCTCCCCCTCAATCCCCTGGTGTATAATTTCCCTCTTTTTCCTTTCTTCTTTTGTTCTGGAACCAGTGCACGATCTGTTAAAATACAAATATATCTGGTTAATATCTCGAAGACAAATGATGCTTGCCTTGCTTCGTTTTTAAGAAAACCCTGTGGTAAACGGATAAAAGGATTAAGGTCCTTGAGCAAATTCAAGATGGCGTAAACAGTGAGAGTGACTGGGATACCAAACTAATTTCGTAATTTTAAGCTTGAAGAAGGATTTACAGACTAAATTATACTTATCAAATCAAAGACGAGATATAATTGATCTTACTTTATTTCTGCTCTTGGCTTTTAGAGAGAAGAAGTTGAATACAAACGCTCTTTTAGAAGTTGGCGAAATGATCTTTCGAAGCCTTGGTAGTCTCTTTTCCTTGATCTTAAGGGTAACCAATGAAGTAGCTTATACTAACACTGGATCTTTGAGAATCTGGCGTCCTCTCGTGTGAATCTTCATTTGAGTATGGAACAGATCTGGGATAATGCACTTGAGCACATYGAAGGACTTTTACTTCAGTGAGCTTTTTAAGTAACTTTAACTGATCTGTGTCTTGTATCTGTCTGTACCTATATCTTCTTCAGTCTGGTCAGTGATGTAGTTACTTTCCTAATGATTAATAGCAGAAAAAATACTAATTTATTTTGAAATCTATGCAATATGTTAAAATGTCTACATCATCATGTGTACACAGGGCTTAAAATAACAGTGGCTCGGACACATGTACGGCAGAAATTATTTTAGGCCAGACATGGTGCCATTCAAGCCGGTCGAAACATAAATATTAAATAACAAAACGAAACAAGCACAAAACAAAACAAAAAAACCGAAACAACACACTTTTTAAAGGTTCTTGTGCATCTGTGATATAAACTCAAATTTATAAATGAAACACCATCATGAATGATGAGACGACGAATATATAGTTTACATCGGATATAAAACAATCAGCGTTTATTAAAACTATATACAAATATATTTATATATGTATATTAATAGAGTGTGAGTTCTTCCAACACTTTCAAAGTTATGACTTGCTCAATATTCTGCAATGATACAAAACTTCTACCGTTTCCTCAAAAGCAAGACCTGACACTTGAGAGCATCAAAACGGCCTGTAAAACGCATTTTCATACAGAGCTAGAATGTGATGTACTTGCCGGGGAACGAGGTCCGTCATACACTGCTTTAAGTCAAATAAGAGACTTTTAAGTTTTGCACGTGCGCTTTATAGAAAGTTCAAGTCTCTTCAAAGGCTGAAAAGTGATGTTGAGCATTTTTTGCCGTAACTTGTAAAAAATTATGTAGCATTTCACTCATAAAGTATGAGAATAAAAATCTCACTATATCACTCGTTTGATTTTTACAACTAAAACGATGACTATATATACTTCTTTTGGCAACATTTCAATTTTTAATCCTATCCTTTATCACTATTTTTTGCGTAAAATCCGAATCAGCCAAAAGCAAAATATGAGTTTTTGTTTTTATATTTCTGTTGTCACTGCCAGTTAATAAGTAGTGTATAAAATGCATTTTGAAAATGTGAACTTACCTTGCTTCTTACTGTTCTGACTCGACGGTAAGTTATGCCATGGACGAACTGAAAAGCTGGCTGACTTACTTGTATACTGTTTGTCTTTTTATTGGATACAAAGTATTTGTAATTGTTGGTCCTTTATGGGCAGGGTTATCTTGGTAACACTTACCACCGCGACCTGCAATAAAATACAACTTCATTAATTGTTTCTCCCACAAAAAATAATAAACAACAATAAATGATGTAGAAAGAAAATCATACTGTACCTTGTCTGCCAGCGATAAGGTAAACGTTCTGGAGGTTTGTGTCTGCGAGGGCATTGAATCTCTTTAAAATGTGGACTTTGGACCTATCGTCATATTTGTCCATACGACCTCTGCTGCAGCCGCAGTTTGGTCCAGTCTCTTTTCCTATACGAGTTTCCCTAAAAAATATGGACGTGTAAGTATTAATAACAACTCCCAATAAACCAGTTGCTCTCAGAAGAACCTTTTTCGGTTGACAACATTTCATTGAAGTCTTGTCAAGAAATCTTCCTCTACCTTGTCAAGCTTGATCAAGTCTCTTAGGAATGATTCTTTGAGCTGCATACTGCAAACTCGGATAATACTGATATCCTTATCTGGGAAGAAGGTCCGAAGCGTACTATAAGTTGTGAAGCTGCACCTACCTCTGGTAATACTACTCGAAGTGCTGACCACATAGCTCTATCGAAATCAAGCTTCACATTGTTACAGGAACAACAGATTTTAATTACTGTGCTTGGAGACGCCTCTGTGAACAAAGCGTGGGAGAAATATACTACAGAAACTAAAAGGGTGAGGGAAGGTATGAGTGGAACTGTTTAAGAGAGATAAATGCAAACCTTGTTGAAATTCGATTTTWAAAAAATCCTCTTTGATGATTACTTTGAAATTGAAGGTTTAAGAAGTATGCAATATGATAAAATGATAACATCCAAATCCTCACCGCTCCTTATCAGTGGACCAGTTACTGGTCATCAATGGAGAGGACTTTGTGACTTTTCGTCCAGCTGCTATGTTCATGCATCCACTATAAAACAAATCAAGGAAAAACAAAAATAACATTTACCTCACCACAAAGTACAGCATCTCGTAAGTGCCTTTAAGTTGAAATTACAAGTTTCAATTGCCATACCCTATTGTTATTTGCAAAAACATAATACAAAAAGAAAATTTTAAATTATATTTACCAAGCATATCAGTAGTAGTTGTAATAGGACAAATTTTGTCAGGTATACAAATCCTTATAAATCTTACTAATATTAAAGTGCTACACATTTCCATTTCTGGTGTTGGTTTTCAGAAATTTCTTCTCTTGACTTTCTTTTGCTTGTATGTATAGTGTAATAATGTCCACAACCCAGTATGGTACGAAAACAAGCCACTTGGTGTGAACAATCTGGCAAAAATGATGAAAAATATCTCCATTGGTGCCAATTTGTTAAAGGTCTACACCAACCAGAGCGTAAAAAGCACATCGGTCACAACGCTGTCAAACCAGGAGTTCCTTAGAGGCATATCATGGCCATTTCTGGCCATAAGATTGAGCAGAGTCTGGTAAGCTACAATTCCAGACCATCCACAAGCCAAATAAAGCGATGTTCTGAGATTATTTCCTGTACTTAATTTTACTGCTAGTAGCACTGTAATATGTGCAACCATTTGTAGTGGGTTCCTGGAACCACACAGTCAGGTACACTTTATCAGTGATCAAACATACCTTCTTTCTAGGCAGTCTCTTCCTTTGATGTCCCCCCAATCTTCTCTTGATGTGGGAGCCACTGCTTTGGTCGTGGCCAAAGTTAAGCTTCACCTTACTACATCCAATGTTTGGCCTTGTGAATCGGATGTAAKTGTGAATGTGGTCTTCACTGCCATTTGCATTTATGAAGGCCATGGACTGCTCAAGATGGAATGAGAACACCTCCCCACACAAACAGGACTTGG